GTGAGAAAGGAGGAGGAGGAGATGACCCCCCCCCGCCTGCTCACCACCAAGGGGCCCGGTGTCCAGGACCCGTGCTCGCTGCCTGCCGCAGCCAGGACAACAAAGCCCCCCAGGGTAGGGGGGAGTTCTTGCAGGGGCTTTGCCTTGCAAACACCGAGCATCATTCCACAGCCCTCAAACAGAATAATTCATTAGCCAGCTCCCAACAATCAATATCTCATGCCAACAATTCATACACCGCCTCTGTTTACCCAGCAGACCCTCTTTGATAATATTATTTATGATTCTAAATAACTCCATCGGTGTTCAATAGAGCTGGGAGGTACCTGCAGGACCGGGGCACAATCAAATTATGAAGACATATGGTTTACTCAGCGCTGGAACTGTTCAACTGCATTTCCTCGCCGTTATCCTGCCGCAATGCCTTCCCAATCACTTCTACAGCCTCCTTGAGAGCGTTCGCTGGATGGGAAGGCTCCTTCAGGGAGAGGGCTCCCGCTCAGCCGGCGGAGACACGCGGCTGTAAAGGGAATTGGGCTGTGGCTGTTCCTGTGTTCGCCGGGCTGAAGGACATGCCAAGCAGCTCAATGCATCCCAGGCCACCATGGCAATTAAACTCCTGCATTGCCACGGATCCACGGAGCAGGCAGAGGCAGGCCCCAGCGCAGGCACCGACTGCTATGTATGCAGCACATCACGCTCCCATCTCCTGGCTGTATTTATGTTTGATGCATATACTGTGTACTTTTTAATAAAGCACTTCTGATATACCCCAAACTGGCCAAATGCTGAGTCATTATTATCGACAGAACATCGCATAAGTACTCTGCCGAGCTTCCTCTGGGCTTTGAGGGTGTATAAAGCTAACACTAATGCTATATTGCTCTATAAACTCTAGTCCTCCCTGCAGAGAAGCAATAATTAATCAGAGGATGTGTGATATGTAACAAATTAAAAAGATAAAACTTCCCAACAAAAATTACGGGGCCAGGGAGACGCGGGCTGAGCCTTGCAGGGAGCTGGCCCCAGCATCCCATTCCCTCACTCGATCGCACATAACTAACCAGGGCCGCATCCTGCCCGCAAAGGAGAGGAGCCCTGCAGCTCCCGGATGCTGCCCTGGCCCCACAGCCAAGCACGAAGCCCCCAGGGTGCCTGGTCCTTGGTGTTTGTCCTTCACAGGTCACAGGGATCCTGGACGGGATGCAGGTGCTGGGGACAGCATCGTGCTCCTTGTAAACCAGTGACAGTCGGTGCTTCCTGGTCTTGAACGTGTCCTGGAAGCCCCTCGTGACACCGAGCAGGCTCGTTCCCGGCTTGCAAATAGCTGAGGCCATAAAATAAAGTGATAACAGTTATCACTGTGGAAATACAATCTCTGAGGAAGTCCCACCAGAGTAATAATTACAGCAGATACTGAAGACTGACAACCCCAGGCTGCTTTTTGGGTCTCAGCTATTTCTGCTATGCCAATACCCAGCATCTGCTTTCCATAAGGAGCCCTGATGTTTCAGGACCAAGTTTTGCTCCCCTTAAGTGGAAGCAGAAGTAAACAACAATGTTTCCTGTGGAACAGAAAGAGAGACAGTTCAGTTCTGGAATATCAGGCAGGTTTTCACTTCCATCTTCCCAGGGTTGCATCAACCCTGGTCTCCGGCTGCTGTGAGCAACCCCTGAGACCCACTGACAACCCCACTCTGGCAAGAGAGCCCATCAGCAACATCCACGGCAACGCTGACAGACAGCAGGGTCTAGCTCTGAAGTCCTCTTTGCAAGAGACCCTCAGGACAAGGAGCAGGACACGTGGGAGTGGACAAGGATGGGTTTGTGGGTGCACAGCAGCTGCCTGCCCATGCAAAACAATGGGGTCCCTGTTGCCAGGCTGCCCTGAATCGCTTTGCCAGGCTCAAGCCCAAGGAGGCTTTTAGGCTGTGTCAGTCACGCTGCTCCTGGAGCCCTAAAGGAGGTGGTTGGGTATCTATATTTAGTTGTCCTCACTTCCTTCCCTCCTTGACATTTATGAATTTTAGATGTCTTTCCTGCTGGGCCTCTGAAGGGCGCCGTGGAGGAACGTGTGGTGGCCCCAGAGCTGCACCAGGGACCTCACACAGGGATGGGGCTCCATCGTGGTGCTGGCCCTGCCGTGGGGTGCTCGGGTACCCTGGGTGCTGCCGTGGTACCCTCCAGCCTCTACAGGCACAGGGGCTGCTGCCGGCTCTGCAGCTGTTGGAGGAAGGGAGGGAAAGGGAGGAAGGGATGATCAGTGGGAAAAGCTGGGATTCCAAGGGATCGGGGAGATGCTGTTAAAGTACGTGGCAACTTACAAATGAGACAGGCAGCGCTGCCTGGAGCTGACAGTGTGCAATCAGAGAATAAGCCCTGCTGCAGCAGCACTGGTGGGATGGGACACCCTGCAGACCCCTCCATCACTCCCCAGTTCAGGACAGGGTCCTGCTCGCATCCTCCTCACCAAGCTCTGCCTCAGCAGCACGCTGGGTAACGCACTTCCTCCTGCTTAATACCCCGGGCTCCTTAAATAGCTCTGACTCTGAGTGGTGGATAAACATTAGTTTCACAGCCCACAAAGCAGAACTGCTGGCTACCGCCAGTCTAGACATAATGAGCTCCTCCCAGGACCCCTGGGAGCGCTCAGAGTGGGCTCTTCTTTACCCAAGCTGCCAGTCAAGCCGGTGCCAGGGGGAAGCAGTGCCGTTAATCTCCTTCCCACCATCCCAGCCACAGCAGAAATCCCTTCGAGCATGGAACAGTTTCACTTTAATGTGCTGCCCCCCCGGCACACGGACGGGAGCAGCGTGGGTCACCTGCCTGCCCGCCCACCACCAGTCCTGGCCATGGGAGCTTCCATAGGGGACAAGAAAGATGAAGTGGGGTTGCAGCAGACCATGAGGGAAAAGATCCACTTGTTTTCCAGCAGCAAGTGCGTGGCACAGCATCCCCTTCCGAGAAACACCGGCTCCTGGAGGAGACATGAAGGGAATCACAGGTAGCACTCACCAAATTGTCCTCCCTGGATCTCTTCCCAGAACACGGTGGACATATGAGATGGAAAATAGGGAGAGCACCACTGCCAGGTCCTTTCCAGCAGATCCATGCACTGATTGCCAAACTCCCACCGCATGTCAGCCCATCCTCCACGCCAGTGGAGCAGTGAAACGCTCGGAGCCTCTGATCCACAGGGATGGGCAGGGAGCCAAGCATGGACTTTTCCATCCTTAACCTCCAAGAAGACGGACACCTGTATCTCTCCTTTCTGCCAGGCCGTATTTAGCAGCTGTAATTATACCCTTTCAATCTCTATATAAATAACTGGAATTCCGGGTAAAATGTTGGGTTGCTTGATTTACATCCCCAGTGAGTCAATAAGGTTGCAAGAAGGATAAATCATGGCAGAAGTGCTCACTCAGAAGATCTGAGAGGAAGAGGGAGCAACTTTTGCCCCCCCCCGCTCTCCCATTACTCATGCTTGTTTATAAAGAGGCTGGGATAGTGCTGGCATTAAATAAACACCGTGTGATTGCCCGAGCATTTCATCATTGTCCTAAGTGCCCATGGAGAGTTGCAGGAAGGAGACACTTTTTTTTCCTGCCTCCTTTTGCTTTCAGACCACCGAGGACCATAAAAGTCCATAAAGGATGCTGATGATGCTGAGGGTCTCCATCCTCTCACCCCTCCATCCTCCCTGCCTTTATCTGCTGGCTCGGGTTGGCAGGACCCAGTGAGAGCTGGGGAATGAGCTTCAGTTCCCCCAAGCCCTCCAGGCCATGGGCTCCCAGGAATTTCCTTCCTGGCTTTTAGGGGAGGTCTCGATCCAGTGCGCAGTTTGGAAGGGGCTGTAGGCAGTGGCAGGGAAGAGACATGGCATTAGCTGCAGTGTCTGTGTCTTTGGACAGCAGGCTGCATGGCAGGGTGTGCAACGGTAGATGGACGAGCCTGTCCTGGATGTTTTTCAAGTGGAGATTAACCACTGAGTAGGTTCTTTTATTTAAGATGCCATATGTCTCTTCCCTCCAAATATCTCTTCCATCAGATTCCACTGTGATTCCCACTCTGCCTTCAACCCTGCCTTGGAGACACTATTGCAAACACTTCCTAAAACCCTGTTAGATGGGAGATGGAAAATGCTCTGAAGACTCCTGCTGTCCATTCCCCTGTGTACATCACACCGGGAGGCACATACAGCCACATGGCTCCTGCTCAGAGCTGCAGCATTCCTGGGAGGTGGATGCCATTCCTGGGTGTGGGGCAGAGTGATGGATTGACTCCCATTACACCGCACATCTCCTGTCCGCCTGTGCAAAGGGGCTAGCAGTGCTGCCCCTTTCCCCTGCTGTGAGCTTGAATCTATCAAGGATTGTGAGGCACTTAGTGCTATGTAAATGGGAGACGTATCAGCTGTGCTCAGATAAATGAATTTCACTTAGATTGATGGGTGTGAAGCACTTCCAAAATTAGGCCTATTCTTCTTAAATCAAACAGTTTCCCCAAGCCAGTTCAGCTCCATTGATGTAGAGGAAGTCATCAAGTTGCGATTCATCACCGGGTTCAATCAGAAACCTTCAATGCGCTGACCCACCGCATGCTTCCTTCCCTTGGCGGAGAGCGTCAGCATGCGGCCGGGAGCACAGGGAGCAGGACCCTCCATTGTCATGCACAGGGCCACCAAGGCTTGGTCTGCATGCTCCTGATGGGACCAAAACCACCTCAGGTGTCTTCCATGGAGCTGGGAGAATTACCTGGATATTCAGCATCATCCTCACAGCGTTTACATATCCGCAGATTCTAACTACAAATCGCTGCTTCCCCCAATCTTTACCTGAGCATCCGTGCTCTCGCAGCCAAATTGGAAACAAAAAATCCAAGTCCAGCATCTCCAAAATCCCTGCCTCGCTCCCACAGGTCTCCTGCAAGCTCCACTGCAGGACTGGAGCTATTCCTAGGGATTAGAGATGGAAAAGCAGCGCACAACAACCCCTGTCCTTGCTCCGATGCTCACACCGAACTGTATTTATGCCATTAAATGCTCTATAACATACAGATAACATCATAAACCCCGTTTAATTCCGTTAGCAAACAGCAAATCCCTCTCACGCCTAGGAGCATCACCATCAAGCTGCAGCAGGCCAAGTAACACCGGAGTAATCCCTGCCGTGCCGTTACTACATTGGCCTGATGATGGGGCTGTGCCCACCCTGACCCCGGGGCCGCCTGAGGGGAGCAGGGGCTGGAATTTCTCCTCTCCTCTTTCCAGAGCCTGGCACCTCCTAATGACAGGTATCTGCCTGGTGTTTATGCATGGAGGAGCTCAGCTCTCTCCAACTTTTTAACTGCAGATAATCAACAAAGCTGGGCAAATAATTTAGTGCGTGTAATTTATTCTATGAATTTTGATTCTTTGCCCACGAGCAGCTTGTGCTGCTCACAAAGGTATTGGTCCTGTGAAATTATGCAGGGGAGCTGCTGCCGTGGCCTGGAGCTCGTTCAGCCGGCTGGCAGCGAGCGCCCGACACCCTGAGCATCGCAATGCTGGCTCCTTCCTGCCTCCTGTTAGGTGCTCGCTCGCATGGTATTGCTTCTGCTGACAGCCTGGAGAAACCTAACCTTTGAGGGCATCTCCTACGGGCAGAGCATTGCTAAGAGAAACCTCAGCTGCGCTCCTAGGACAGCTGTGCCTGAGTTGGGCATTTGAAAGGAAGGTGCTGCAACCGCTTACCTGAGCGACTGTCCAAATGCAGTCGCAGCATCCCTACGTTTGTATCAAACTGCCCCGTGCTGTCATTAGAGACTAAATATACCTCGGAGCAGCAGTAAGCACAGCTGCGCTGCTCCTCTCCGCTGGCAGAGGCAGGAGAGGCTGCAGCAGCCTCGCACATAACTGCAGTGCCAGCTCCAAGCTTGCCTGGAATTCAGATGTTGAGGCTGTGAGCTGCACCACGCCTGCTTTGAGCTGGTTTTGCTGCGTGATGCGTGTCCTTTGAGCCATGCCCCATGCCCTGCTCCTCTCCAGTGCACCTGTGCTCCCAGGAGAAGGTGCTTAAGTGTCTGCTGTCAAACACAGGGCTCCCTGGGTTGGGGAAACAGCTCTCACCATCACAGATTGCTGGTCCCAACCTATGCTCTGACTGCAGCGTCCAGTGATGCTCAGCAGCATCTTCACATGCGACAGGCAGCAGAGGAGCTGCTGGAACGTTCATTAGCGCTTCTTCCTGGTGGGAGTTAGCGTGTTTGTGAGCAGAACTGCATCAGCGTGTGACCGTAAATCACCTCCTGGCTCCGTACTCATACCTGGATGTTTGCCACTGCCAGTGGCAAGGCGCTCGAGCGCTGTCACTCCTCCGATGCCCTCCGTCCCTTCTCTTTATCTCCTGCACATTGTGAGCTTGTTGTTTGCAGAGAGAGCTCCGGCCCTTCCAGTTAGATGTGCCTGCCAAGAGAAACGTTGATTTCTACCTTCCACCTACCTTCAGTTATCTGATTAATTCGATTCAAGGAGCAGGGAATTAAGCTCTTCTGCCTTTTTTTAACCTGAATGCAGAAACATTGATGTAGAAAAGGACCGTGGCTGTTAGACCTGTCTCGTGACCAAGACAGCCTTCAAATGTGTTTTAGCCTGACTTGGCATGCTGGGTTTTAGGAGCTAACTGGAGTGAACTAATCCCAAGTCTTAATGAATAATGTTCGAATCTAATTTCCATTTTCAAACCCGTCCATACATTGAAGAATGAGTCACAAGGTGTTTGTTGTGCGGTGGGAGAAGAGACAAGCTGGGCAGGGTATTTTTATGTGTTTGTGAATCACTGTATATGATATTTCCCTCCACTGTGCCTCTCTGTCCTCGCAGTTTGCTGCAGTGAAATCCATTCAGCTGCACTGGAAATGTAGGCACTTTATAGAAAATCTTTAATAGCGCCGGCACAAATGGATGGCTCTTATTTCCTCCCCGCAAAGTGGCAATTTGCAAAACCACTGCTAACAAATATTTACCCTCCTCCCCCGAGCCTTTACCTAAGGAGCGATGGAGCTGCCTCCCGGCAGGGACACACAGAGCTCTCTGCCAGGCACGCAGGGGACCGCAGGCACGAGTGGCGTGGGGGTGCAGAGCCCCGCAGCTCTGACCTGCACAGATCCATATGGAAACAGGCTCGCTGGAGCCCGTAAACACGGCGTGTGAACACATGGCTGCACAGGTGCCAGCGTCTACGCAGACACATATGGGAGAGGCAGGGAAGCGCGCGGATCCTTTCCAAGTCTTCCCGTCCTGGCTGCCGAGCCTGTTTGTTTTCTGGTACGCTCGTCTTGCTGGAATTTTTAACATTTAATTAGTTGAACCAGCTGCTTCGCTTTGCAGAGGGAAGCTCAGTTTTGCCTCGCTTTATACGGGTCTCCACCGTTAGCAGGATCCAGCTGACGGTGCATCCAGTCCCCCAGTAACAGGCTCGGGGATGCGCTGGCAGCGGTGCTCGTTGCATGAGTGGTGCCAGCCAAGCTGCCCCGGGCATCAGCCTGGGCTGGGATCACAGCACAGCACAGACCTGCCACATATCTCCTCTTCATCCCTCTCACTTGAACTGGAGCTGAGAGCGACCTTATGCTCTGCAGATTGTCCTCCTGTGGAAATGGGATGACAACCAGAGGACTCACCTGGTAGAAGACAGATTTCTACGCAGTCATGGCAGGGCACGGACCTCCCCTCCCCACAAGGCAATTCCCACTGCATGAAACACAATCACTACCTGTCTGCATGAAAGACGCTGCATTTTCACCAGTGGTGCTCAGAATCCGCCCCGGAGAACCCTCTGGTGCCAAAGGGAGGCTGCGCCCCACACGTGTTGGGCACAGGGGCTGCTCCTCTCCTGAATTACTTGCCCCAGCTGAAGTCAGCACCAGACACCGGCCCCGTTACAGCAGCTGCAAAGGATCCCATTGATTTCAGGGAGCTGGGATTGCAGCCTGATTATCGCCACCGCTCATGAAAACACTTCTGAGGTGTTTGCCTTTGGAAAAGGGCAGATCGCCTCAAATGTCAGGTGTCAGTAAAGCCTTTCTGCATCCCGGGCGGGCGCCCCTCTCCAGCTTCAAACGACACAAAAGGGCCCTGCGCGATTCTATTCACACCAGGTGCCAGCTCCTACCTTTCAAGCCAAGAGAAGTTTGCCTGAAAATAGACCCGTGAACTTCTTCCCGAGCGTTCTCAGCGCTCCTTTTCCCCCCAGGAAATAAATTTTTAATTGTTCTTATTCTTGGCCATCACCCTTGCAGCGCATTCGCTTCCTCATTGAAAGTCCGAGACAGAACAACACTGAAGAGTTTTCCATTTTCAAGCCTCTCGCTTCTGACACAAACAAACAAAGCCCGAACATGTTTAATGAAACAGTTTGGGGTTTCAAAATGAACGCTGTTGTTTTGATCAAAAAGCCATTTGTAGCTCCAATCCCGAGGACGTTTTCCTTAAACCCATTTAATCCAGCTCTAACAATCTCTTTGCAGCGAGAGGTGCAACACACACTTGTTTGCCAGCCTGGATTTGCTTCCCCCTCATTAGAGCTGCTTGGGGGGGAGTGAAGATGCTCCTGGGAATGTGGTGCCAGTCACAGGTGGGTGCTCCAATACAGGAAGAGCAGCAGAGCCCGACACGTGGTACCTAACAAACAACAGCAGCAAACATTCTGCCTCCATTTCCCTCCTCTGGTTGTCAGGGAATAGAAGTTCATGTTTTCTGCTGCACACATCCCAGTCACCGCGTGGCCAAGCCCCCACAGGGACATCAGTCCCAGTGTACATCCCATGGCTGGTGCATCTAGCGCCAGGTTTGGTCAACAGCTCTTGTCTTTAGGAGCTAAAACTTCATTTCTATCAGGCAGCGCCTGCAAAAGTGCTGCCCATGCAGTTGCTCCTGCCAGCAAGCTCATTAGCAGAGATAGCCATAGAGAGCGAGCACACAGGAGAGATGAACCAGGCACCACCATTGTGGCTCCCGGGTGCAGCAGCAGCTTCACTCACATACCTCTGCGTGCCCGGCACAGCGAGCAATGCCCACATCACCATCACCAAGCAAGGCAAGGCCAGGAGCCTGCAGCGCTCTGCAGCTCTCACCCCTGCTCACAGCCAGTCACTGCTGCGGCAGCGCGGGGATGCAGCATGATCCATCCCAGCTCCTTGGGGTTAGCGTGGTTGCGGTCCAAGGCGGTGCCTGAGGCTGGTTGCTGTGTCGCTGCAGGGCTACACGCAGTAATAACTCCTCCAGCATGGTTACACTTCGAAGCACCTCACTAGAAGCAGGAAGAAAGAGCGTTTAAAGTCGAGTGGAAACAAAGCCAAGAGGGTTTGGCAGGTCTGACTTATGAGAGGAAGGAACTTAACAGAAAGGCCTATAAAAGAGGGAAGGTGCAGAGGGGAGGCACGGAGAATCCAGGGAAGCTGGGGAATAATCGTAATAATAAAACTAGTATTAGTCATAAATTGCTCCCTCACGGGCTCGGAGGGACCCAGCAGGCAGTTAAAGCACGATAACAATAAACAAGAGTAATTAAAACCTCGTAAAACGCGTCCTAGGAAAGGGAAGCAAAAGATTCTAAAGCTCCTGAAACCCTGCAGAGGACATAAAATAAAGGCAAGGGGGAAAACTTATCTGAGGTTGACCAAAAATATATCACAGGCAGTAATGGGTTTCTGCAGAGCAAAAGAGACAGAGAGAGGCTTAGACTAGAAAGAGGCACGGAGCGAGGAGCCCGGGGTCCTTCCAGCCCCGAGGGCCCTTGGGAAGCACCATTCCTGCTCCCTGACATCCCTTACTTTCAACAGTCTCTAATCTGCTGGTTTTCCCCTTAACATCGGATCACATTCCAGGAAACAGACCCAAAGCCAGCCTTGCAGTGCCATCACCTTGGTAGGCTATGTCTCAATGGCCCCAGGTCCATACGGATTGGGCTGGGGAAGGATAACGCCTCCTGATTAGGATGGGAAAGACAAGTGCAAGCTCTCGCTCTCTTCCTGAGCATGTTTGTGCACGTACGTGTGCTCAGATCCTGCTTGTAAATCCTGCGGAGACAGGACTCGAGATCAGGGGAGTCTAAAATGCAGGATGACTGCAACACATCCAACCGGGAGCGCGCCGGAACGCTCTGACAACTTACACCAATTATACACCAGTTATTTGTCACATCAGGGAGCTCATCAGTTGGTGTTTCAGCAGGAGGTGATGTCTGAAGATGAGATGGAGGTGGGAAAGCGGGGCAGGCTGACGGTGCAGAGGGGTCCTGTTTGCACGCCCTCACCCTGCACTGGCTCTCCTGTGCCCGGGGATGATGCTCCATAAATACATATGCAGCATGGGAATGGGGTCTCGCTGCATTTTGACATGTATTACATGCTGGAATAACTCCGAGGGATTTCTGCACAGTATAATGATGAGAGTGCCCAGTAATAGGCAAGGAAACAAAGCTGGAGCTACCGCACCTGCAGTTTCATAGCTGGAAAATTGTGATCTTAGCAAGCCAGTTTGCTCTAACGAAGTTATTTGTAGAGCAAAAGCTTCTTGCCCCATTTAAGCCAATGGTGGGGGATGTTTGCAGGGAGAGGACTCTCAGGAAGGATCGTTTACTGACAGGGGAAGGTCACCCAGACCAAACACAGTGCTGTGTGCTTCTGCAGCAATGAAACCTCCCCTCCCTCCGATCAGGGATGGGGAGGCCAGCGGGAAAACACTATCCTTGGAATGGAGTCCAAGCACAGGGAGAGCATTCCTCCACCAGGCAGCCCAAATGGCTCCATTGGAGCCATCCCCTTCCAGGCCACGGTGGCTTCAAGTCATGGATGCCACATGCTCAATGTAATTACACAGACGTGGTGAGTGGCCCAGGCTGCCACCTCACCCCCTTGCAGAGCAGTGTGCCCTGCTTCAGAGGGAGATGAAGCTGTGCCCACTCACAGAGCCAGCTTGCTGCTGCAGGGGGAACCCTTTGACCTCAGCAGCCATCGGCTGATTAGCCCTCTGCCTCCTATGCACACTTACAGATGTTGCTATTGATCACAAATTAGGCAGCTCCTGTTTAAACCCAGCTCCATTTAACTTGGTGACCTCAGGGGGATGCTGAGCCCGCACCTGACAATGTGCCAGGTCAGGACACGTGTCCCTGCCAGTGCTCTCCATCCCTCAGCAATCCCCCAGTGTGCTCTCCCCCCCTGGTACAACAGGGATCGTCTGCCTTGTGTTTTCTTCCTTCATTGAGGGTGGGTGCCCTCTACACCCTTCCTCCCGAGCAAAGCTATGCCGCTTTTGCCCCATGCAGGGAGAGCGGATGGAAAGCAGGATGCTTCCAGACGAACCCTTCCCTCCCAGGGCACACAGACAAGCTGCTGTTGAGGGTTTTAATTTCCTCTGCCACAGAGCAGCCGCGTGCCTTTTATACAGAGCTCCTTTAAAGACTTTGGGAAGCAATTCCAGCCATTTCTATGGGCACGGGGAGATAATGGAACGCTTTCAGAGCGTGCTCTGTGGCAAGGAAAGTTCAATTCTTGCAGCCGCATTCACCATGCTCTGTGCTCCAGCATCCCTCCCACTTCTTATTTCCTAGCAGCTGAATGACTCCCAGCGTCTTCCTGTGGCTTCTCTCTCATGAAGCACTTTGGGTTGAGGAGCAGAAACAAACTCAGATTTACCCTAGGCCCTGGCCACGAGGTAGAGAAACAGGGAGGAGGGAGCGCTCTGCCCCAGCACCAAGGAGTGGGCACCCAGCACCCAGGAGCAGGAAGCCCCCACCGAGCTATTTTTAGTCCCACCACTGCAGAGCAAGCAGCAGCTCCGGGCCCTGCTCTTCCTTCCTTTCCTCTCCCCTCTCACATCGCTCCTCCAGAGCCAGAGCAGAGGCGGATGTGGGGAGGAAGGGGTCTGGCTCCTGCGGCACAGTCAGCCCCCATCCTGTACCTGGGCACCGATTCAAGTCTCCCTGCTATTGGAAGTGGCATTGCTTATGCAGAGCTGCACGCCTACTTCACAGGCTTTGGACTGGCCTCTGAAGTGGCAGAGACACTTGGGCATGAAACAAGCCTACACAGAAAATAAATTGTATTGCATTTAAATATTTCTTAAGTCATTTTAATGTATTTAAGTCTTAATTCATCTTCTCAAAGTTCCTTTTCACTGCACTAATGTGACGTGTTTGACAGAAAGATGAATTACATTATTAAAGAGTCTCTCTGGCAAATTTCTGTAATAAAATCTCCCTTCCCCCCCCGCTTCTCTCCTCCTGCAGACACATGGACCTTTTGCTTCCTTCATCTTCACAAATTATTCCTGGGTTTCTGCAAGGGGCTCCAGGACAAGTCCTGGCTCCTTCCCTTGCAGATAAGGTAACCTCATGTGCCCACGTCAGGATGCCATGGGAGAGGATCTGACTGAGCAATGCTGTGTGCCCTGGGCGAGTGGAACCTCTCCACACGTGCAACCCTCCTCATCCTCACCAGCAGCAGCCTCAGTCAGTCGCATGAAGGCACCAGGGGCCGCCCAGGCTGAGCCTTGCCTTCCTCCACGCCAGCCCCGTGCAGACACCCACTGGATTTATGCCCTGCTTCCCCATTCCGCCTTGATTTATCCCCTCCGGCATGCCGGA